ATTCACAGATGACATATTGCCTAAGTAGAAAACCCTAAGGAATATATTTTTTAAGTATTTATTTAAGTAATCTCTACACCCAACGTGGGGCTTGAACTCACAACCCCAAGATCGAGGGTTGCATGCTCCTCTGACTGAGCCAGACAGAGGGCCCCCTAAGGAATCTTTTTCTAAAAAATCTCTAGAACAGCTGACTTTTGCAAATTTGCAAGATACAAAGTTAACACAAATTCAACCATGTTTCTATATATTAGTAATGAACATTTGGAAACTGAAGTTAAAAACAGAATAGCATTTACAGTAACTTGAAAAAAGTAAATACTTAAGCACAAATCTAACAAAACATGTATAGTATTTGTATGCTGAAGACTCCCAAACACTGATGAAAGAATCCAGGGCACCTGGGTGGCTCAGATGGTTAAGTGTCTGCCTTCAGCTCAGGTCACAATCCCAGGGTCCTGGGATCGAGTCCTGCATTGGGGTCCCTGCTCAGTGGGGAACCTGCTTCTCCCTCTCCCTCTACTGCTCCCCCTGCTTGCGCTCTCTCGTTCTGTCAAATAAATAAATAAAATCTTTTTTTTAAAAAAGAAAGAAACCAAAGAAGACTTACTAAAGGAGATACATACTGTGTCTGAGGATTGGAAGACCAAACACAGTAAAGATATGAAGTCTCCCCAAATTGGTATTTCCCAAATTTCACACAGTTCCTATCCCAGAAGGACTTTTTGTAGATATAAACAAGCTTATTCTAAAATTTATATGGATAGACAAAGGAACTAGAATAGCTAAGACAACTTTGAATGAGAAGAATAGAGTTGGAAGAATCACACTTTCTGATTTTAAGACTTACTATGATAGCTATGATAGTCAAGACAGTGTGATGTTGGTGGGTGATAAAAACACAGATCAATGAAAAAGGACAGCTTACAGGTACAGCCAGCTAATTTTTGACAAAGATTCAAAAGCAACTCAATGGAGCAAGGACAGTCATTTTATTTTAATTATTATTATTATTTTTTAGCAATAGTGAAGTTTATTGAATGATAGAGTACAAAGCTCCCAAAGAGGGAGGGGACCCAAGAGGGTTGCCCAAGGATAGTCATTTTAACAAGTAGTGTTGATACAACTGGACATCCATGGGCAAATAGAGATAGAAAGATAGATGTGGGCCGGGGGGAGAGAATAGAGAGATGGATAGAGAGACAGAGAGAGAGAGACAAAGAGAGAAAGATTGGGGTGCCTGGCTTGCTCAGTTGGTGGAACATGGCATGTGACTCTTGATCTTGGGGTTGGTAGTTCAAGCCCCATATTGGGTGCAGAGATTACTCAAAAACAAAATCTTAAAAAAAAAGAGAGAGAGGTAGAGCGATAGATAGGTAAAAAGAATCTGGACCTAACCCTCACATCTTATTTAAAAATGAGTCAAATGGATCACAGACTAAATGTAAAACATAAAACACAAAACTTTCAGGATAAAACAAGGCAAAGAGTTCTTAGACGTTACATCGAAAGCACCATCCATAAAACGAAAAGTTGATATGCTGGACTTCCTAAAAATTAAAAGATTTTGCTGTGTGAAAAACACTGCTACAACAATGAAAAAGCAAGTCACAGACTGGGAGAAAATAGCCGTTGGTCACAGAGCCAACAATGGACTGGTGTCCAGAATGTGGAAAGAACTCTCAAAACATAAAGAAGCAGCAGCCAACTTACTACCAAGGGGAAGGAGGAAAGACACAGCACAAAGACCACGTGGATGGTAAGTCAGCACGGGAAAAGGGGTCAGCATCATCAGCCAACGGGGAAAGGCACATCGAGACCATGACAAGCTACAATTACGCATCCGTTAAAAAGGCTACAATAAAAAATATTGATAGTACCAAGTGCTGACGATGATGCTGAGCACCTGGAACTCTTCATATGTTGCTGGTGGGAATGCAAAATGGTTTGGCAGGTGTTTTTTTTTTTAATAAACTTTTTCATTTTGAAGAGTTTTAAATTTACAGAAAAGTCACAAAGATAGTAGAGAATTCCCACATAACCCACATCAAGTTTCTCCTACTATTAACATCTTATATTAATAAGCCCCATTTGTCACTATTCATGAATCGGTATCGATCCATTCTCAGTAACTGACATCTGTACTTCGTTCCTATTTCCTCAGCTCTTCCCTAATGCCCTTTTTCTGTTCCAGGACCCGGAGTGAGTCATTGTGTCTCCTGAGACTCCTCTCGGCTCTAACAGGTTCTCAGACTTCGCTTGGTTTTGATGACCTTAACCATTCTGAGGAGTATGTGTTGGGTATTTCGTAGAATGTTCCTCAAGTGGGATTTGTCTGACATTTTTCTCCTGGCTAGACTGGGGGTATGGATTTTGGGGAGGAAGACCAGAAGCAAAGTGCCACTGTCACCACGTCATATCAGAGGCATATTCCATCGACCGCACTTCTCACTGCTGACCTTGAGCACCAGCTGAGGGCATAGTTATCAGGCTTCCCCACAGCAGGGTACTCTTTTGTTAATCTCCTCTTCCATCCTATGCTCTTTGGAAGGATGTCACTATGGGCGGCCCCTACTTAAGGAGTGGGTAGTTATGCTCTACCTCCTTCAGGGTAGAGCTCCTACAGACATTATTTGGAATTCTGCATGGGAGATTTGGGTCACCTCTTACAAAGTTAAACATACACTTGTCACACAACCCAGCAATGCCCCTCCGACACACATATTCAAGAGAAACAACAACTTAGGTTCACACAAAAATCTGTACACAAATGTTTCTAGCAACTCTATTCCTAATCATCAAAAAAGGACAACAACCCAATGTCCTTCAACAGGTGGATGAATAAACACTGTGGGGTACCTATACAATGGTCTGTCTACCTCCCAGCAATAAAACCCTACTACATGAAACACCTCGGGTGACCCTCAGACACATTATGGTGTGTGAAAGATGCCATTCTCCAAAGTGTGCCTATGGTATGATTCCATTTATAAGACATGCCCCAGAAGAGGAGTATCAGTGGTCGCCAGGAGTTAGGGATGGGGGTGGGTGTGAACACAAGGGAGAACCCAAGGAGATTTGGGGGGTGATGGAGAAAATGTTTTGTTTCCTAATGGAATGCAGCAGTGCTTGCACGAATCTCTATGTTTTATTTTATTTTTTAAATGAATCTATACATTTTAAAACTCATAGAAATTTACTCCAAGGAAAGGTCAATTTTACCATAGGTTAATTAAAAAGAAAAGAAAGAAAAGAGGTGGAAACAGCCAGCCGAGTTCCCAGAACATAGCAGGGGCTAAGTCAATGATAGTTCCCTTTTTTAAATAAGAAGTTGGGCTCTAGAGACCCAATTCTTCAGCTGCTTGGCTGACGTCAGCCCATCATCCATCCACGCGTCCTAGATTTCTTGGCTTCTCTGTCCACATTTCTCCCAGGTGTCTGTTTGGAGCTACACACCTTTCCTGACAAGCAGGTTCTGAATGTGGGTCCCTGGAGAATGTGGGGCAACCGAGTCAGCCATCGCCTCTCCACCACCAGCTGACCTCAAAGGATGGCGCCGGCCACAGAAAGGCTGTGCCTTCTCTGCTGTTTATGCACTCTCTTGGAAAAGGAATTCTTTCTTTGCCGCATGAGGGAAGCAAAGAACAATCGAGGGTCCAGCAGACAGAGATGGGCCGGAAATGATGAAGGCAGGGGAGAAGGGCCTCCAGTGGGTAAATGGTCCCCATTCTTGCTAGGCAGGGTGGAAGCACAGAAGTGGGTAGTTCTACAATACCAGAGTCCCCAATTTTTCTGTGATTCTTTTCATCTTTTGTGTACACGGAAGAGAGAGTCATGCATGGAAAAAGTAGCCCAGATTAAGTTAGTTTTGTTTTCAAACTAAACAGGTAGAACAGCCACACAGAGCAGGCGTGACTGTAGGGAGGGAAAAGACACATGGCGAGAAAGATTTAATGAGGGAAACCCACAGGCATGACTCCTGCCAGATTCCCTACATGAAGCACAAATAGCCAAAGACCAAAGTGAAGTCAAGGGCAACTCCCTGCATCTGAGAAGCTAGAACACAGCACTGTCAGGTGCAATGGCCTGGCTCACCTCCTGAGGGCTACCCAGCACCTGCCAACGTTTCCTTCTGGACTCCTCCCTAAGTGGATGCCCCTAAAGGATGGGCCTCACCCGTTAGGAGCACAGCCCTGCACCCGAGAGGGGTACAGAAAGCCCAAGCTAGATGTCAGGATCAAGGCTGGGCACGCAAAAGGGCTTGAGCTGATAGAGCCTTGAGCTGATTGCTGGTCGGAGGTGACAATTGTCCATGCAGCCTGAACAGGCTGGAGCACAGCACCCTCCCACCCCCCACACAGGGCAGAACCTGGTCACCTCATCTGAGGTGACAATGACTTAGGATCATTGAATCCTTGAAGTGGAACCCAATTTCCAAACTCCCTCTGTTACATTGTTAAGACAAGGGCATGGGGCATCTGCTTAAGCATCACATATAAGGACTCTCTCTCCCCAAAGAATGGTGCTCACCGACAGCCCTGAGCAGCTGAGACCAGCTGGCTGGCGGTCCTGTCCTCCTCTCCTTCCACTCTGTCATTCCACAGACGTGTCCAGAAGGGCATCTCTGACTGTTACAGACCATTTCCATGACTAGGATTGGAGGATTCCTTTCCTGCTGACCTAGTAATCATGGAGGGAGAGACTGTCTCCAAAGCTCCTGGTAAAGTTGGGGTCTCACTCTTCTGCATCACAATAAAGTAAATGCAGAAGTCAAAGCTCCCCAGTCAGGGTCACAGGGGAGGGGCCTGGTTTCTCAGTCATGGCCTGGAAAGCTTGGGACCTGCCCTGGGTGAAGCAGGAGACCACCATCTCCCCTTCCTGGGGGCCTGCAACCCTGGCGTGCGCTCCGGCCCGGGGTCGCCTCCTTCCTGCAAACCCACACGAGGATCCAGCCTCTTCAGCATGGACTGGACAAAGGCCCTGAGCCACAGAGAACTCACCGAGTGACCTTGAGGGAAAAAGACAGGCCTTCTGTAACCAGGGCTTCCTTCCTTCTGAGCCATTGTGGTTTTAAGGAGACAGAGATGAAAAACTCGCGTGCATGTCTTCCTAAGGGCACAACGGTCCACATAAGACATTTCAGACAATTAGATGTCACCACGATCGGCTCACGGCAGAACAACCCAAGCAAAGAGAACAGAGAATGGCCTGGGAGTCATGCAGGGCAGCACCCTGGTCTTTGGAGGCAATGCGGCCGTAGGGGCGGGGGTCATATTCTCCCTGCTTGTCCACAGCCTGACCCAAACCTCTGCCAGTCGTCAGCCTGTCTCTCCACCCTGGGGCCTGCGCCAGGGACAGTCATACACCGAGGCTCAGGAGAACCAAGGGAGGACTGTGCTGGTTCCTCTGCCAGGACTGCAAAGGAGACAGGACGCCACCCCCGTGGCCTGCTTTGCTTGTTTTCTTTCCTGGAGTGATTTGCCCCATTGCCCAACTGCTGTTCCTTTACTGAGCACATATGAATATCTTCCTCAGATCCCATTCCAGACACTCAGTTTTCACCTGAGAGATCAAGTATGCCTTTTTTTTTTGGACTCAGAATCCCCCAAAACATGACAGGGAGGAAAGGGTTATTTCACCGAGTGCCTCTGGCCAGACCATCCCTGCTAGGTTGTTCCAACGATCAGAAGGGCAGAGAGACAGAGGCAGAAGGACAACAGAGAGGACACACACATACATACACAGGCATGCACCCACGGAGACTCCCTGCCGGACCTAATGACAGGGCATCACGATTCTGCTGAGTGGTCTTAGATGTGACATGACAGGTCTTTCTATCAAACATTTAAAAGATTTTTATACTACCCATTCTAGAAGCTATAGACAATCACATTTTTCTAAAATTTTTCTCCCCTTACAAGTTCGTATTTGAATAAAAGGATGGCATTTTCAGACATCTCGAAACAGTCACTGCTTCTTCCTCTTCCGTGCACGTGTGGGCTGTCCTGCCACACCTGAATGCCTTGGTGTTCCCAGTGGTACGTGCTGCCTAGAAGGTCAGAGCCCCTGCTTCCTCGTCTGCTGCTTTGGTGAATGCGATGGTGCGAGAAAGCCAAGCTGGTTTGGGCTGTTCTTCCATAATGCTAACTATTACTACTATTTAGTACTTGTTAATAGGGAAATGATAATTACCACTAATGTTCATGTGGGCTAAGTCTATTAGAATAGAATCCCCCTTTTACGACTGAAAAAAAGCTTGAAGGCTTAGAAAAGTTAAACAGCTGTGGGCGCCTGGGTGGCTCAGTTGGTTAAGCTACTACCTTCGGCTCAGGTCATGATCCTGGAGTCCCTGGATCGAGTCCCGCATCAGGCTTCCTGCTCAGCGGGGAGTCTGCTTCTCCCTCTGACCCTCTTCCCTCTCATGCTCTCTCTCAAATAAATAAATAAAATCTTTAAAAAAAAAAAAAAAGAAAAGTTAAACAGCTGTCTAAAGCCAGAGAGCCAAAATGAAAGAGTCTGGGTAAACCCAATCAGAGCCAGATGCCACAGCCTTACTGTAATGCAAACTGGTAACTGTGCTAACCTGGGGTGTGGATAAGGACCCTCCAAACAGATGCTGTGGACTCACCCTCTCTTGCCCATCACTACGGAAGAAGACGCAATCCAGGGGTCTCCCTGTTTGGGGGTGATGCAGGCAATGTCTGATTTAGACATTTATTCCACAGCATTTAAAGAGGTTTCCTAATTCCTATTACAGTAGAGATCAGCCAACAAGGAAAGCTCAGCAATGGTCACCCACAAATGCTAGGTTTTCACAGACGTTACTCAGTGTCTAAAGGAAAAAAAAAGAAAACCCTGAACAATCGAAAAGTAACACTAATAGAGGAGATGCCTGCAAAGGAGTGGGAACAAAACAGTTATCCCTAAATAATTCTAGACGCTGTTTAACTCAAATAAAATCCCATGATGTTAGAGTTGGATGAGACTTGAGATTTCCGGAGGATGGTGGGGGTTGGCAGACAGACAAGGGAGGCACGGGGGAAAGGCACAGACTCACGGAAGTAGCTGTGACGGAGTGATGTCAAGGCAGCAAAGCGGTTCATCTAGAGCCCACACAGCTGCATCCAGAGCCCATGCTTTCTGCCCACAGCATCACCAAATGGGTAAAGGAGAACCAGGGAAAATGGTCACTCTCGTCCCTGGACTGGTGTGTCATCTCCCGGTTCAGGGCCACGTCCTGGAATGTCACCGCCTTAGGCCAAAGAATGTGGCTGCTGCTTCCCTTTTCTTCACTGATGGTGGCAGTACCGACGTGGACAGGTGAATGGTGTTATTTTGTAAAACTCAGGTCATTCGTTGGACAAACATGTATTAAGCCCCTACCATGTCGTGGGGACTGCAGTAAGTCCTGGGGGTACAAGGAACAACAGGGTACGGGGCCTTCCTTTCCCCAACACGATCGAGGGAGGGACAGATATAAGGAAATGATCACAGGGACATCACGAGGGCCGTAATTCCAGGACGCAGATGTCAGCGGGAGCCCAGAAGGAGGAGCGCTCCATTCTGCCCAGGGAGACTTTAAAGACTGCATTCCTGGGGTTGAATCTAGTAGAAGCCGGCCGCTCAGACTAGGGAAGATACTCCAGAGAGAACAGCATGAAGCGGAAGGCAGTAGATTCCCTGGACACCGATAACACAGTCGCATTCAGACCTCGCTGGAGAGTCGCGAGGGACGACAAATATTGATCACCAAGTCTGGTACAAGTTCAGTTTGTATTTGCAAGTACAGCTGACTCTTGAACCACGGTTGGGGGGTGACCCCCCCACACACAGTTGAAAATCTGCATATAATTTCTGACTCCCCAAAAACCTAACTCCTGATAACCCACTGGCGACCAGAAGCCTTACCAATGATGTAAACAGTCTACTAACATGTGTTTTATGTTACGTGTATTACATATTCTAGTCTTACAATAAAGCAAGCTAAAGAAAGCAGTATTTAGAAAATTGTAAGAGGAAATACACTTACGACACGGTACTGTATTATCTGCATATAAGCAAGCCGTGCAGCTCAAACCCGTTGAACCTGCTGTTCCAGAGTCAACTGTATTCCCCAAAACCTGAAAATCGAAACGTACAATTGTTTTTCTACCCCCAATAATATGGGAGCCAAATTCTCTTATCTTAGGGGGCCTTAATGTATAACAAGAATTAAAATGCACATAATTCGGGCGCCTGGGTGGCTCAGTTGGTTAAGCAACTGCCTTCGGCTCAGGTCATGATCCTGGAGTCCCGGGATCGAGTCCCGCATCGGGCTCCCTGCTTGGCAAGGAGTCTGCTTCTCCCTCTGACCCTCCCCCCTCTCATGTGCTCTCTCTCATTCTCTCTCTCAAATAAATGAATAAAATCTTTTAAAAAAAATAAAATAAAATGCACATAATTCTGTGCTCCAATCCTGCTTTGGAGTGTAAATAAGGATTTTTTACAAGCGTATTTGGCAGATGTTTCCTTGCACGTAACTGAAAAGAAATCAGGTTCAGGTGCTGCCCTGGTCAGAAGGTAACTAAACAGCTGTCAGGGGGCACTTCAAGTGTATTGATCCGCGGTTCTGAGGACACAGGCTCTTCCAGATGTCTTCCCTGCAGAATTCTAACTCCCAGTTTAAAAGGGAAGCTAATTTTCTTTCCTCTCAAATGCTTTAGCTGAAGGCCGTTTTGTTCCCAGTCTACCCTTTTAGGAAAAGAGCTGATAAACAGAGGCAGGTTTAGCCTGAGAGAGAGAAGGGCATGAAAAGATGGGGTCTGCAGAGAATCTGTCAAGTTTCCAGAGACTAATAACCTTCCTGACATTATCAGAGGCGACTCAGAAACGCCACAAATGTTGGCATCACGCTAATCTACAGCAGGGCCAACCTACCCAGCACTTTCGGGCTGGGTCAGTCTTTGCAGTGAGGGCTGTCCTCTGTGGGCACAGCAAGATGTGTGGCGATTATCTCTGGTCTCTCCGCACCGATGTGAGAAACACCCCCAAGTTGTGACAATCAAAAATGTCTCTGGATGCTTCCCCCAGTTGAAATCTCTGATCCGTTTTAACTCCGAGCAGCAAACAACACCAAAGAATCTCAATCCTGTTAACTGGTTCCTAGTGAAAACCCTTCTCTCTTTGGTTATCATCGTACCCCCCCAAAACAAACCCAATAAAAGTGATCACAGGAGACCTTAAACAGTATCTAAGTCTGTATATGAAACAGTTAATATTATTGGTCATGGGAAACCCTGTGCATTGAATTCCCCTGATTACAACAGGCTCCAAATGGCACTGGCTACTTAGTTGCCCCTGGAGGTTAGGCGGATGTGGTGTGTCTCATTCATTCTGCCATAGGTTCATACCGTCATTCAACAAATATTGTGTGTTCACAGCGTACAGGCATTGTTTCAGAAGAGTAAGACAAACAAAAGCCTAGCCCTCAGGGAGCTTATGTTCTGGTCGGAGAACAAAGAGACCATTACAGTCCGTCTAAGTGCTGTGAATAACATAAAGCTCAATGGGTTAGAGCTATGCTGTCCTATAGAGTAGCCACTGGCCACAAAGGAGTATGAAGCCCATGAAATGTGGCCCATTTAAGTTGAGCTGTGCCGACCGCACCAGATTTCAGACTTAGCACAAAACGAGAATGTAAAATGTCTCGTTAATAATTTTTATATTGATTAGATGTGGAAATGAGATTTTGGATATACTGGATTAAATAAAATCCATGATAAAAATTAATTTTGCCTGTTCTCTTTACTTGTTTAGTGTGGCTACCAGAAACTTAATACAATGCATGCGGCTCACCCCATACTTCCATTGGGCAGTGCTGGGCCAGAGAAACCAGATGGAGGTGGGGAGCCCCTTCAGCCTGAGAAGCCAGGGAGGGTCACTCTAACATCTGGAGGACCAGCATCCCAGCCCGAGGAAATGGCAAATTCACGGCTCTGCAGTGGGAATGAACCTGGCCCATTAAAGCAACAGTGAGGGTGTATGGGTCCGTGGGGTAGACACAGGGAGGGAGGGAAGGAGCTGAGGATGGCAGGGCTGCGGGCCAGGCGCGAGGTAGGGGCTCAGAGGCCAAGCTAAGGGGTTGGGGCTTCATCCCAGGAGCCATGGGAGAGCACTGGAGGGTTTGCCTCAGGGGAACATCATGACCTCATTTATGCTTTACCAAGATGCTACACTCTGGTGGTTGTGTGGAGAAAGGACTGGCATTCAAGCAAGAACAGAAGCAGGACCACCAGGAGGGAGGCATCAACCTCGTGGGACCCCTCAAGCTTTTGGCCACTCTGGGTCAGCTGGCGGGGTTACTTAGAAGAGGATGGGAAGGGCGCCTGGGTGGCTCAGTCGGGTTGAGCAGCCGATTCTTGGTTTCCACTCAGGTCGTGATCTCACGGGTTGTGGGGCCAAGCCCCGCGTATGGCTCTATGCTCAGCAGGGAGTCTGCTTCTCCCCTTCTCCCTCTGCCCCTCCCCCCAATTTGAGAGAGAGAGAGAGAGAGAGTGTGTGTGTGTGTGAGAGAGCGCGCGCTCTCTCTCACACACACTCACACTCTCTCTCTCTCTCTCAAATAAATAAATAAATCTTTAAAAACAAAAAGAAGAGGATAGGAGATGACATCAGAGATGCTACTTCTTTCCCATAGGATAGATAGGTCTGGTTAATTCAACTTACATTAAAATTTTGATTATATATAATACCTCTTTCCACCACAAGAGCAGGTAAATGAAGTTTGTTTTTTTTAAGAAAGAGAAAGAGTGCAAGGTGGAGGGAGGGAGAGGGAGAGAATCTTAAGCAGACTCCCTGCTGAGTGCAGAGTCCAATGCAGGGATTGATCCCACAACCCTGAGATCAAGACCTAAGCCAAAGCTAAGAGTCAGATGCTTAACCAACTGAGCCACCCTGGCGCCCCTGAAGTATTTTTTTTTATTATCCAAATCGAGCATCAGGATTCTCAGAGCCATCCTGCTGCTTAATGAAGTTCAGCTAACCTGCCTCCTCGCAGAGTAGGGAGGGTGTTAGACTAGCTTTCCTCTGTTAACTGGTTTCCTATTTCCTTGTACCACCGCACTAATGAAGTTTTTAAAACTGGGGGGTTTTAGGTTTATCATTGTTTTGGTCTCATTTAATGCACTTAAGTATGAATGCAAGAATGAAGTCATTCTTGCTACTTTACTATTAACTCAAAATTTGGTTTTCTTCTCTCATGAGGCTTTCACCCCTTTTAATTGGGCCCTATTTTTGCATCTCAGCCTCCTGGGTTCACCCCTAAGTCCCCTAACTCAGAAGTGCTGGCAAACAACAGTCCTCTAAGCTCATCTGCTCTGGTATTTTCCATTTACTGTTTGCTCTACTGTTGCTAGATCCTCGTTTTTCCCCTAGCTCACTGGTCACTTTTGCCACTGGTGAGTCATTTGCTCTGAGTCATGCCTGGCTGTGATGCAAAGGCCAGGAAAATGCCTCAGGACACACACCTGGTTTATGAAAGGACGTCACTGAGGAATATGGTGTTTTCCTAAGTGGATCCAGTAATTAACTGAAAAAAAAAAAAATCCCCCTTTCTCCCTTTTCTCCCCCCCTCCAAATCTGCCATTTCCCTCAGCATTTGCTGGAGACTATTCCTATTGTGGAACGAATCTTGGTCATTCGTCTTGGACCGTGAGAGGCAAGAGAACGTTTCTGGAATGAGCCCAGAAAACCCCTGAGGATGAAAGCAGGTCCTTCTTATGTAACGTCCTTGCTCTATTGAACAGCACCAACCTCACACACAGGCCACATGTGAGTCACTCTTCCTCTCGAGAGCTAGGAAGACACTGTTCTACACGGGATCATTACACCACACACAGATGAGAACCGTAGACAGCGGGCAGGTTCCTCTCCGCGCCTCAGATTTCTCATCTGTGAACTGGGGACGGCACCGGCAGCTACCCGGGAGTGTTCTTGCGGGGGTTAGCATGATGACTCCAGAGAGCGCTGAGCACACTGCTGGGTACGCCAGAGCAAAGCCAATCAGCATGACCTGTCACAGCAACACACCCCCTCGGGAGCACAAGTGTCCCTCCCACCTTTCTCCCCCAGAATGCTCTGCACTGGCCTCCCTTCAGGGCTAACCCTGATGGTAAAGGAACTGGACTCTGAGAACCACCCCAGGAATACAAGCATTCTACCCACCCTCTGGCCTCAGAACCACACATTTTACATCACATACTCATTCCTTCTGAGCACTTTCCCTCCAAATATAAAACTCGTGGCAGAGGAGCTCGTCATCAACTCCTAACACGTGGGAATGCATCAGCCCATCAGGTCCCCACGGAAGGGGTTCTGAAAAGGCAGCAGAAGGAAGAATGGAAGGCAGGGATGTAAGCAGAGGCTTCGAGGTCTGTGAGAGGAGGTGGCACTCGGGGACATTAAAGGGGACAGCAGATCTAGAAGGAGATGGAGGAAACTGGGGGTGATGGGTGCCCCTGGGGAGGGGACTGGGAAGCTGGAGGGGGCAGGGAAGGCAGAGGCAGGAACTGCTCTTCACTGGACATCTTTTTCTTACCATCCGAATTCTGTACCATCTGCATGTATTACCTTGTCCAAAAATTCATTACATTAAATAAAGGAGGGATTATCTCTCTCCCTTAATAAGGCGAGACAGAGCCAGAAATGAAAAGGCCTCAAAAGCAAAGGTGTGAGTCATTTCGGATGTTTCGCTGGCAGCCTGCCCTGCTCTCGTGCACTCCCCCAACCCCAGGCCCCAAAATGCAAAGTTTCCCCGTGAATTCCTGGATGGCTCATTCTTGGAACACCAGCAATATTTTTTCGGGGTCATAGCCCAAGACACTAAAACCCAGAACTCTTAAAGCCTTATGGAAAAGCCCCTGTGAATCCCTGGGAAAGCCCAACAGGGGGAAACACAACTTCTCCTAATCCTATAGGGCCCATCAGAGCTGGCCACGCGAGGCTTGGTGTTGGCAGGGTGAGGCTCACATGCACCATTTACCTCACCGTGGGACGTCAAGGGGCCATGCCTCCCCTACAAGGACAGGGTAAAGCAAACCGCCGAGGAAGGAAATAATCCCTCAAGGGCTCCGGCAGAGCACTC